GGACTGCCCCGCCCCCCGGTCTGGACCGCCCCGCCCCCGGGCACACCAAGAGCGGGTTTTTTTAATCTCACATGAAAACGTGTAGCTTGGGGACCAAACGGTTCATGCAGCTATTCTCATACAGCTTCCGGTATAGAATCTGAGTAAAACGACCCCCGGTCATTTGTCGTGGATGAGAGAGGAGTGATGCACTTCACTCGTACGAGAGAAGCAGTAACATATCGCATCTCTCCAGCAGCCAGCTCTTCCAGTTGTCTCACTTTGAGACGCCCAAACACGTCTGGCTCCCAAGACACTTAACCTACCTGCTGCCTACTCTGGACTGATATCTACTAGCACTCACATGCTGACATGTGTACGCTCACTCTCTCCAGCTGCTGGCACCCTGGACACGCGGGTCCCTGTCACCCACAGTCCCACTCCAGCCACTGGCACTTAGACCTCCATGCACGCACGCGCACACACACACACACAGAAATAGAGATCTACACACCCCAGAAAAGAGTTAGAAATTGATTTTAATGACAGTTTAATGGCCAGGTTTTTTTGTCCCCTTATCCCTCTGTTTTCCCACTTTTATTACTCCCAAAACCACTACGATCCCTCCCTTTTCCTGCATTCGGGTCCTTCCTTAAACATTCCATAATAAGCCTTATTTGATGCCCAAATGCTCTTCCTCTGCATCCCATAACGTGTCCCACGCCACCTAGGCAGTAGCCCCCACGTCTGAGGTGCCCTCTCCCCTGGACTCGTTGCCATGGGTGATACCTGAGGTGTCACCACGGGGCTGATGGTCTCTGGGAGGCTGGGGCAGGGGCCGCCTTTCTCTACCTGGGTTACCGGGGCTCTCTTGCCAGCCCATATGCCTCTCTGCTCCTTGTGTACGTGGAAATGATCACTTTTCTGTGATAGGCCTGGGAGTAGCCATGGCAGGGTATTATTCAGTTTCCCCATCTGCCATTGTTCCTCTGCGGTCCTTTGTGTGAGTGGGGACAAGCCTTTTATTGCATAACTTAGTATCTATGACTACGGGTAATTTCCGTGATATGTTCTGATCCTATGCACAAAATGATCTAAAATTTCTGTCTGAGAAGACAGACTGTCAAATACAATTAGAGGAGTAGATCGTAATTTCACTGCACCTTAAATCCCACAGTTTGTAGCCTTTTCCCCTCATCTTCACGCATAGTTAAAAACAGAGTAGTGTGTAAAACCAGTATAGTTCTTGATGCCAGCACCTAATTAACCTTCTCACCCTTTCTGATTTTGCTCCTGAAATAGTAGTGATGTGGTAGATTATCTGTACCTTCTTTCCATTTTAAGGAAGCTGTTTATATCATTGAAACTTTCAGGTTTGTAAATCAGCCTCTAAGCAGATTAAAATTTATAATTGGCTTCTGGAAAGTTAGATCCCTCACTCAACTGAGACTAATGTTGAACGTGGAGAGGAACAGATGGGCAGTGCTGTGAAAGCAACAGGAGGAAGAGGGTCAGTCCTGAAGTGTTCTTCCTTCTGACCGTCCGTACACATGGGGAACAATAGCAGCTCCACAGTGGATGACCTGCAGACTATTGAGATCCATCACTGGTACAAAAAGTTCATGACGGAGTGTCCTTCTGGACAGCTGACTGAGCATGAATTTAAACAGTTCTTTGGGCTTCGAGGGCTGGATCCAGAGGCCAATGAGTACATTGAGCAGATGTTCCGCACATTTGATATGAATAAGGTGAGTTCTCCAGCAAGGAAATTAACTGCCTTGTATAGCTTAAGAGGAAACCAACTCTTGCAACTTTTTGAGTCCTTGGTTTTCTCTTACAAACCTTGGCGTGGAAAGCTGCTGAGGGAAACCAATATAAAGTAGCTAAATGCAGGGACAAATTAATGTGCATAGATAATAACACAGATAACATAACCATAGGCAATAACACTTCATTATCTAAATGCTTTCTGCAAGTTCATCAGTGAATTTTGAGAATTCTTTATTATGTATTAATCAACCTGGCCTTGCTTCACTAGCAAAATGCTAGTGAAAGAAGATGAGGTTGGAATCTGGAGCTTTTTAAAGCCTTTTATTAGTCTTCAAAAATGTATCTGTATTAGATATTAGAGAATATAAAAAACAAATAAAATAGAAATCTTTATAACATTTGCAGAGGAAGTGATTTCCAGGTACTTAGCAGCTGAAGTTAGTCTTGCACGGGCAGACAATCTATATGGCTCTCCTCAGAAGTGGGAGGTATCGCATACAGCAGCAGCTAGGAGGCAGTTAGTATCATTCACTGTGGCAGGCAACCTCTTGCTGTCTCTAATACAAGCAACAGTATCCTCTTTAATATCTTTAAGGATGACACGGCTCTCACTTCTGCCTGTTTTTATCCATATATATATGTAAGCCTGTGCTTGCAGGTCTGTAATGTGAATGGCAGATAAATTTAGTCTTACGGCAGCCTAGGAAAATTCAGCTTTGATCTCTGCTCCAAGATTCTGAAACCAGAAGGAGAAAATGTCTGTGAGCTGAGGAGGACAACTGAAATAGGTAGGAAATCACAGGGTCATTTGGGCAACATGTCAGAAGGTATAAGGCGTTAAGGAATGTGAAGGAATATTACAGAATGTTTAAAGGAAAGAGAGGAGCACCCAGGATCCATTAAGGTAGCTGAGGTCTTGTGGTGGACGTAATGACTGCAAATCTTAAAGAAACTTCTTCCTCACTCTAAAGTTCTCAGTCCAGAACTTTGCCCAGGATGATGATAGTCATGAGAAGCAAAGTTTTACAAGTTAAACCAAAATGTACACATTGCTTGGAGAAGCTTTTTCCTTTCTTTCTGTCATTTTTTGAGATATTTAAGGACTTTAAAATGTGTTCAAGGCTGTTAGGCATTTCAAAGAGCTTGTGAGCTTCAGGTTATACAGTAAACTGCTTTAAGAAGACTCTCAAATTCAGATCTGTTCAGACTAAGATAAAAAGCTGATCTATCAAATAAAGCAGGATTAATCTCAAGAGGAATGAAGTAGGAGTATGGCAGCCAGGAGAGGTGGACCTGCATCAGTTAATTTTAACCTGTTAATGGTTAGCCCTTAATCTCAGCTCTTTTTATAATCAATGGCAAGGAAAAAGAGCACCCAGAGGAAGAGTCACCCTGCAGTAATATACGTGCCTAAGACGGATAGGATCATCTGCCCTCTGGACCTTCAGATTCTGAGAACTCTGCTGAGGGCAAAGAGGATAATTTTTCAAGAGCTGTTTTATAAATTGCCATCACGCCCCTCTTTCCCGTGTTTAAACCTGGTTGTCTGTATTTTCTGGTACTTTGCTCGCCCTCATTATGCAAATCTCACATAATGGAAGTACTGCCATGATCCTGACAAAATATTTTAAAATACTGTGATCCTTGCTGTAAAATAGTAGTGCTCTGCTAGTCCACCTACATTTGCCTTTTCCATGTTTCAGAAAGGCATCTGGTGTTGTTTGAATTCCTCAATAAATGAAAGTTTAATTGTTTTCCTTTGTAATTTGCTGAAGTAGTTATTCAGCATCATCAATGGACATATGTACTTTATTTGTTGTTTCTATTTATCTGCCTTAGATTTTAGTTAATATTAAGTCTTTTCCCCTAGATTATGACTCTTTAGTATCTGGCAATTTTTCTTGCAAGGGAAACAAGAGCTTCTTGAGTTTCTTCATAAATTCCATAAAGTAAAGGTTTAAAAAACAAAAACAAATACAGAACACTTTCTCCAGCTGTCAAATCATCTTCGGTGTATTTTAAAAAATATTTTCAGTTACTCTTTTTTAGAGAATGGAGAACAGATATACGGGTTATTGAAAGAGAAGTGCTTTCCCACAAAGACAAAACAGGCTAGCACAAAAAATCTGAGGTGGAGTTATCTTCCACTTTTCTTGCAGCCAGGGCTCTGGATCAATTTTCTTCCTTAACAGCCCCTAATCAGTAGCTCTGGTGGGCAAAGAGGGAGAGGTTCATTCACACTGCCCATGAGGAGTGACAGGTTTCATCTCTGCAAGTGGCGAGCACAGAGTGTTCTAGACATGCAATAGATTGGAACTACAGAAATCCAGGTATTCTGGAGACCTTAAAGGTAGCCAAAATATAGTGTGTGCATGCTTAACAGCTGAACATGCCTTTTCCAAGCTTTTCCTTAAAGCCAAGTCTCTGTGCCGTGTATTTTGAAGAAGGACTGGTTATATCTCTTTCAGCTGTGAATCTAAAGAGCAATAAAGTAAAGCACTTCTCGAGTCATAACTTCCTCACTTTGTTCCTCTCACAAGCTGCTTTTCATTTTCCCACAGGATGGCTACATTGACTTCATGGAATATGTGGCTGCCCTCAGCCTCGTTCTCCGTGGGAAGATGGAACAGAAATTGCGATGGTATTTCAAACTCTATGATGTGGATGGCAATGGCTGCATTGATCGACATGAATTGCTCAACATCATTAAGGTGAGTCTCCAGGGGCATGTGTTCCTTCCTCTTTCCTCAAAGATAAATCCCCACCTCACAGGTGAGACTTTCACCGTTTCCCACATGGATGATCATGGATGATACCTGCCATAACAGCATTTTTTTCTTTTAGCAGGTCTCCCCACAGTCACATGGTTCAGTCAGCAGGCTTGACAGACTTTTCTCCACCACCGTAGCATATGCCATATCATAGATAATTCTGTAAAATTGTCTTACTCGTCTGGGACCTAACCTGAACTTTGCAAGATTTCAGACTCCATGACTGTCAGTTGCAGTCTCTGCAATGCGTCCTTCGTGGGTCCTGCCGTATGCTCCAGAAGTTTCCTTTATCCCATGTGAATAGTAATTGGATATTTAGCTCCCATTTTACTTTTTAGAATCAATTCCTAAATGTTAATGTAATAATACATTTCTGACTCTGGTAAATAGGTTGCAGAAGTATGACTGCCAGTAGAAAAGACTGAGTGCAAATAGCTGTTATGAGAGACATTGGAATTACGGACATTAATAGGACCTTATGGATATCTCAGAATGACTTATTCTGGAAGGTCAGATTACTCCACGGAGACTGGGAAACTACAAGGATGCAGGGAAGATTCAATGACCCTAAATAATTTGCATTTCTGAATAAGGAAGGTCAGACAATTGATTTGATAAAGATTTGAAGTCTGAGTTGTCCACAAGTAAAACCACTAATAAGACTGTACTAATGGATTCTTCATGTGAATAGGAGTTTTAGTGCTGGGCATTGAAAGAGGTCAGAGGCAAAAAAAAGTCAATAGTAACTGTAAAAATATGCAGCCTCTGACTCATGACTCGTGAAAGAAATAGCAGATATCAAGGTACAGCAACACGTAGTAATTGATCAACACACAGAGCTCTTGAGAAACTAGTCCTGTGGGTGGTAATTGGTGGTGGTCAATTTACTGCCCTTCAAATTCTGTAGATACGGTTCAGTCTCTTTTGGGGGGGCCTTAGGAGCTGACACTGAGTTTTAGTAGAAGGGCATTTGAGAAAGAATGAACAAACTTATTACATATCTGAAGATAAAAGCTAAAAAATTAATAGTCTTAGAATCAATATGATGGCTCTGGAATCACATATTTCATGGACATCCTTAAACAAAGGAAAGAATTAGACATGGAAAAGAAAAGAGAATCCTGCCTATATGGCAGTGAATAGGACAAATAGTAAGCAACAGTAGTGAATAACACTCAAATGTTCTTACGTTGAAAATGAATCTCCAATGAGCTTTGCGGAGAAGCAGGACACACAGCAAGCAGTATGTAAGTTGAAAACAGGAAAAGCAAGCAGAAATATGAGAAATAAATGACTACCACCATATAATGAAGGGATTACCAGGATATCAAATGGAGAGAGTGTTTGATGGGATTACGAGGCTTGGTGGACCATAGGGTACTAGAAGAAGCCATCAAAAGAGTAAGGCAAGTAAGGAAGTTAAATCATGTCTCTGTATCATGTTTAGCTCCAGAGGAATGGATAAAGATGGGCACCTGTAGAGAGACGTTCATGATACCTGTCTGACAGTTCTCAGGATGAAGCAAATTGCCCTCGGGAAATGTGTCTACTCATTCAGTTTAAAGGAAGTACAGACGGTCAGCTTAGACCTGTGATCTAACCTGCAGATGGCCAAAGTTAGATGAGTTTGATCTGGGAAAGTGGCCTGGATACTGCTATTTCTATAGTGCACAAGCACCACCTGAGCAGATTTAGAGCAGTCTCCTAGGTTTTATTGCTCATTCCACGCTTCAGAATCATGCTCCCTTTGTACCCTTCAGTGCTAACTGCACGGCCTCAGAAATTCTGCTGTGTTTGCCCACGATGCTGGTGCTTTTGCATGAAGAAGGTGTCAGGCATGACTCTCATGTTCTGAATCTACTCTGACAGGCTGCAGTGGAATCAGTCTGTTGTTCCAGGGGCAGCTTCCTATACTTGTTCTTTTTTTTTTAGGCTATTCGAGCTATCAATGGTGGTGACCATGAAACCAGTGCAGAAGAGTTCACCAATCGAGTCTTTAACAAAATTGATGTGAATGGAGATGGTAAGACTCCTATGTCATCCAACTCAGTTGATCACTCAGTGCTAGTGAGTGATCCACGAATATCCATGTTTTCCTTTCTTGCTTGAACTTTACGCCACTTCATTTTTTATTTGCTGGTGACATGAAGTCCCTCCCAGCAATCCACTCTCCAGGAATTTTGCTGAGAGAGTTTTCTGCTTGCATAGTACATAACCAATCTGATAGGATTTGTTCCCTGGCACTAACTCTTAGTTATGTTTTGTCTATATGAGTTTTGAAGGATTTTTTTTTTCCATTTTTGGATGTTTCTGTGTAGTTTATGTCAGGGTTAGAAGTGGGAATGGCAAACAGTTTCTCAGGTGGCCTCAGCTGCTCCTAAATCCTTCAGTAACTAGGAAAAGAGGAACTCAAATTTAATGTTGAAGTTGTAAGTTATTCCACCGGGTCTGCTCCAGGGCGTATGGTAGCCACATTAGGTGCTGTGGACCAGTCAGCCAAAAAGTGCTATATGCCACTGTAGTTACTGTATGTCCCTGAGACATACTTCTTCCCTGGTTACTTCACGTTCTCATTACTCTCTCTTGTGCTCTTTTGTTATTCCAGTAACACTCTGCTGAGCTGCTTTCCTGCGCAAGGGCTAGCCGCAACCATATTTTTCTGCACTCTATGCCTATGTTTTCTGCTTTTGTTCTCATGAAGCCTTTTTGGCCCAGGACAGAAAACCTTATTCTGCCTGGCACAGTTTCTTTCTGTTACTTCTTTTAACAGGAAAACCAGCAGGTATGGAGGAGGCCTACCAGTAGGATAGGCTAGGACAAAAAGAAGTAGGTTAATCCAATCTTATTACGAAGAAAGCTATGATCCCACTCCTTAGCCACATATTTCCTCTATTCTTTGTGATATACCCTTGGTAATGGAGTTGTGAGAAACCCCTGTCTTCAGAATAGTTACATTCCTATGATTTAACCCTTGCCTGGGAAAAATATGGAAGCCAGAGTTGCAGGGATATCAGGAAAATTTCAGATAAGTGTAAAAAAGACTATCTGAGGCCTCTTGGCAGTGAATCTTTAGCGAACTATCTTTAAAATTGGATTATGGTACTCCTTTTCCTGTTCTGATATCTTCTGTTTGTATCTGACACAGGTGAACTTTCTCTGGATGAATTTGTGGAAGGAGCTAGGAAAGATGAGGAGTTCATGGAGGTTATGATGAAAAGTTTGGACCTGTCCCACATTGTGGCCATGATCAACAACCGCCGGCACAGTGTATAAATCAAGTCAGGAGAAAACGGTGTGCCAATAGACAGAAGAATGTGCACACACAAAAAAGAAAGGACAGTGTTCTTAAAAACAAATAAATTTTCCAAAAACTCATATATGAAAGTAGGAACAGAAAGATATTAGTGCATATGTGTATCTGAATCTGCGTTCCAGTACAAATGCTGACACTCAGACACATACATGCAGAAGTGGTTCAGAAAAAAATGGATCTGTGTGGCACTATTTGATTTAACTTCCTAAAATGCAATGGCCAAGTTTCAGGGCACAATTTCTTGCTTATTCTGTGCCCCAGATAATCAGTTTGCAATGGACTGAAGATAACTTTATGAAGAGTGCTAGGAGACTTGGATGATAGAGTGTGAAAAATCTCTGACATGTAAAAAAGAAGAGCTTCAATCTGTTATCAGTGTAGAGAGCTGACAACAGAATGTAACTTTCACTGTTTTTGCTATAGTATTAGATCATAAACACCAGTGGGCTTGTTTGAAACACTTGATGTGCTCAGATTTGGCAGTCTGCGCAGGAGCAGCTTTATTCATAAGATCTCAAAGAGCTGAAAGAAACATCAGTCCTTAAGGCTGACAGTGACTTTTCTGTTCCCTGCTACGCTGGTCACTAATGTTGCTGTCTCAGCTTTCTGTGATCAAAGAACTCTTTACCAAATAAGCAGTTTAGGAGTAGCTTCAGTGGCTACAAAAAAATAATGCTACTGTTTCCCAAGGCAGAATAATTATCTGAAACATCAAGTCTTTTTAACGCTCCTTGTCCTACTGCTCTGCTCTCATACAATTGAATGAATGAAGTATGTGGAGATGACCTTAAGTATTGCTGCTTCACACATTATCTATTGGTCCCTCTTTTTTATTCTTCAGAAGAAAAGCTAAGAAGCAAAAGAAACAACTCAGCAAGGTAATTTGCAAATTCTGCTGATCATATGATTTCCGAAGTGAAGCTGGTACCCTGGATTGGTCCTGCCACAAAGAGCTATGTGCTTTTGTACTTGATGGGAAGAGTGGCATAGCATGGATAGAAACTAAGAAAACTGTGTCTTGTTCACTAACTGTAGGTAAAATCCCAAGAATCAGAGGCTCCTATGAATCTGGAAAGAGAGTGCCAGAGAGTAAGAAGAACGCAGGAAAAGCTCAGCAGAGTGCATATACAATAGTTGGGCATGTTTTTCCTGTGCGGGAGGAAGAACTTGGGAATCTAAAAAAGATGACTTTAGACATTAGGAGTGGGATTAATTGTTTATATTTAGGCTTCAGTAACGTACGCGTGTATTTTGAGCAAAGTGTCTAGGCTTTCATTAAAGTCGAGGGAGATCTAGTCAGCATTGTCACTGGAGAGCTTGAGAGAGTGGCTGATCTTGTTTAGAGTAGGTGCCAGAGGAATCACATTCTAGATCCCACTGACTGTGCTGGCTAGATGTCCATGAACTGTGATGGGACCCTGGACACCAAGTACACTTCTACAATCGTAAAGCTGCTAAGAGGAGTCATAACATGGATATTGGCAAACATTGCTCAGTTCTCCAGAGGATTATTACTAGTGTATGCTGATGGATCCTGCTGTCCCTTGGGACTGGGGAAGGCAGAGCTTTTCTCTTTTAGACTCTGCTGAACCTGTCCTGTGCCTGTTACAAGTCGTGACTCTCTTGCAACATTGTGAATCAGCTAAATGTAAGACAGCATTTGTGGTATCATCCAACATACAGAGAAAAATCTAATTTTAGCTCTTAGGAAAGTAAAGAATTTTTGTAAGTGCAGCTGAGCTACTAGGGAAGTCACCAAGTAGTTGTAGCTGCCTACAGTGTTGTGATAAGCTGCTTTACATGCTGTATGGAACCTTCTTGATGTAAATCAAAGCAGAAGGGCATGTTGACATTCTCAACAGTAATCTCGAGTATGTGTAAGTAGGATTTGGGGTTTGTTTTTTTTTTAATACACGCTATAGCAAACTGCTACTTCCTTAGCCATCATTGCTGATGACACTGGAACATTTTCCAGCTAAAATGCAGTCATGAACATTTGTAATGGGCGAAAAATGCATTATTCTGTCACTACCGTGAACTGCTGTTTTGTTCTTAATATTTCTGTTCTTCTACTATTGGATGCTTTCACTGCTTTCTGGTTCTACAGCCAGAGCATTCTTTGAGAGACCAAGCTGATAGTGTATGTGCCTTTACTACGAGCTACGGGAAGGGAGACTGTGGGGAGTGGGTGGGTAGGAAATCCCTGTAAAAGGGGAGGATAATTTTTTTTCTGAACTATTTGGCTTTCTTTGTACAGCTAAGAATAAAACATGTTAAATAAACCTATCTTGGGACTGTTCTCTTTGTTAGGAGAATTAGGAGGAGGAGGAGGATATAGCCTAGGGCTAGGACTTGGATTTGGATGAGGATTGGATGAGGTAAAGGTTTGGAGTTAGGGGCTTAAAATTAAGGAACAGGGCTAGGATGGCGGGGGTTGAGGTCAGCATTTGGGATTGGGTCAAGGGTTAGAGTTCAGGCTGGGGTTAGGATCAGGGGCTTGGGTTTGGGGTTGCGTTCAGGTTTGGGATTTGGGTTAGGGTAGGTAGTTAGGGGTTAGGAATGAAAGTTCAGACTAGAGTTTAGGAATTTGGGTTGAGGGTAGGGGTTAGAGTTAGGATTAGGATTTATAGAGTTAGGATTAAGATTTGAAGTTAGGGTTAAAGGCTAGGGATTAGGTTAGGGGTTCAGGTACTAGGAGGCAGAGGGGGGCTTAAGAAGTGACAGCTGTCTGTAGGAGCTGTGCCAGTACTGGTTGGAGCCCGAGAGCCACATCAAAGTGTTGATGGTGCTGGAGCAGTTCCTGAGCATTGTTAAAGAAGGGAATTGTAGCTGACCTAGCTTCAGTTTAGCATAAATCTGACTCTTGCTTAGCATAAGTGCCTAAAGTAGGTGAAACCTGCAGGCCATGGGACTGAACTATAACCTGAAGAACATTGCTGACGACCCAACTGCAAAATCAGCTAGAACCAGCCTCAAGGATACAGAACAGAGTGACCAGAATGAACAGAGGTAATGGCTGACCTTCGGATAAGATAAGGTACTGTGGCGCAGGGACATAGCAGCCGTCTAGCAACTGGCCCGGGACATATAGACGTGAATCAATCAGAGGGAAAGACACCACCGACTCCGTAAAGAAGATTGGAAGAGACTTTCACTGGCAGGCAGGGAAATAAGACTGTAAAAAGTATAATTCCTTAAGAATTCTTTTGTTCTGGGTCCCTCCCCTGAGGCACCCAGCTTGAGCTGTTACTTTGTCGTACCATCATTTAAATAAACAGTTAATTTAGCTGTTGTACATGCGTGAGACTCTGGTCCTCAGAAACCTGGGGTCGAACTGTTTCCACAACATGCATCCTGTTTCAGGAGGTGCAGCACTGGGTGTGGAAATGCAGCCCTGGGACCTCTGCCAATAACCTTCTCCCAGAGATCCCTTAAGACATGGAAGAGAAGGGAGAAGATTAAAAAGATTTGTGTAAGACACCAGCTGAGCTTGCTGTCTACCTCTCTCTCTTCTGGGGATGGAGCCCAGGCCCTGCATGTCCTGGTGTCACTGGGTAGGGAAGGGAGGGACTATCAGACTGACTAAGGCTGGGAAGCGCCTGCTCGCCTTATCTTATATTCAGAGAAGGTGGCTGAGGCAGGCTCCTGCCCGCTGGCAGGATGTGGCCGGTGAGTTGCAGTCCAGAGGGCCCTGCAGTCCCACCAGGGAGCCAAACTCTCAGAAGCGTCCTGTGGGAACAAGAAAAGACAGAAAGGTCACAGGTCGCCCCAATGGCCGTTCACTCTCTCATTGTTGTGCTGATGCCCGAATCAAGGCTGGGCAGTGGGACAGACAGAAGTGGAGCCCCATAACCCTGAGAGACCAGAAACTCAGAGCACAGCCCAGGGCGGAGCTCCCTGCCAGGGCTGAGGCAGATGAGGACAGGAGACAAAGCGTTCGTGGGAGTCCCTACTCACTGGCTGGAGCAGTTCTCACTCCTCCGGGCCGTTTCTGCCCTACTGATGAGCAGCGATGGAGGGATGGGTTTGCTCAGCAGCTGCCATCATGTTCAGGTTCCTGCCTCTGGCAGAGATCTCTGCCTGCTTCCTGACATCCCAAATGTCCCCCCAGTCCCACACAGAGACCCAACAACGAGATCAGGACCTCAACAGCTGACAGCACTGGACCTCTTCTTTACATCCCCTTTAGCTGCTCACAAAAGGAGCCCATCACAGCCACTCTCCCCAACCAACTGGGTGTTGACACTGCCTACTCCATAGCCCAGGTCTCTCCACAAAGCCTTCGTCCCTGAACAAGGAGGTGTCTCCTCTGCAGGGACCTCCTTGCTCAAGGTTTAACCCAAGCTGTCTCTCAGAGCTCAGAGATGTCTCTTGGGTCTCCCTCCTCCAGGACCTATCTCTGCTTGCCTGAAGGCAACAGTGCCCTGTCACTCCCTTCCCACAGCTCAGCCCCCATATCCCAGCCAGCAGCACAGCCACACTAGCAAGCACTTGCCTAAGCCCTGCCATAGGCCCACTTGAGGTAATGCAGGCCTATGATTTGCTTTGGGTGGACATATTGGCTTCCCCATTGCTCACCTGCCTGCAGGATTCAGAGTTCTTCACTCACAGTTTATTGTTCAGAGTTTATTGTTGAGGGTTTTTCATGGAAGGATTGTAGTTTATTATTTTATTTTGGTGGGGCTCAGTATTTATCAATCAGGGTTTACAGTTTACTCATTTATTGATTAGGACTCACAGTTTAAAATCTAACATCATCCATAACTTTAAAGCTCCAACATCCACTTGGTTAGTTCTAAGACTTGCAGTTTATTACTTAGGTTTATAGCCAACTGATAAATGAAAAGGTCTAAATCTTTAGATAACAAACTCTGAGCCCTGAATCCTGAACAGTAGGTTGTGAACCCTTCTTTGGGTTTATAACCTTCCCCTGTCCCAACCAGCATTCAGCTCTGTGCTCTGACCTGAGGTCTGGGTTTGACATGGTGCAGTCATGTCACACTGAGTCAGATGGCTGAGGTGACAGGTGAGCTGAGAGCTCTGACAGTGTCTTGCAGTGCTCTAGTCTAGGGGCAGGGCAGAAGTGCAGACTGGTAAAATCAGGCTTTTTCCTCTCGAATCTCAGAGCTGAATC